TTGCTTAATTGCTATATCTTTTCTTTATTTATATGTATTGATCTATCCCCTTTCAATCACACTTTATTACCTAACATTCCATGTTAAGTTCTATATTAATATATACATATATTTTTACCAGATAGCATGACTTATTCTTTCTAAATGTGTGCAGGATATTTAAAAAAACATAAAAATAAACAAAGGTTGGGAGTGGTGGCTTATGCGTGTAATCCCAGCACTTTGGGAGGCTGAGGTGGGAAGATTGCTTGAGCTCAGAAGTTCAAGGCCATCCTGGATGACATAGCCAAACCTTGTCTCTGCAAAAAATCAGCCAGGCATGGTAGCACGCACCTGTATTTTCAGCCACTAGAGACACTGAGCTGGAAGGATCACCTGAACTCAGGAGGTCAAGGCTGCCATGAGCTGTGATCATTGTGGTCATGCTACTGCACTCCAGTCTGGGCAACAGAGTGAGACCCGACTCAAAACAAAAACAAATAAACAAAGATAATCAGGACATCATTTTACATGTCTTTTTTTCAGATGCCTAAAGGTCCATGGAATAATTTATTTACTTTCTAAGTGGACAGTTGGGTTTTTTCTTCAGAGAATCTATACTAGAATACTTAACATTTACTTCAGCCCCTCAACTCCCCATCATTTGTTTCTGAAATTTGCTCTCAGTTTAGAAAGATGTGTTCTGAAAATCTTTCCTCCTTAATCTCTCCGAACGGTAGAACCTTATTTCAAAGTAGAAATAGAAACCATTTGGTCATTTGCTAGTCTTTTCTTCTTTTTTTTGGCCTTTCTACTACAGAATAATTTTTTTCATTAAATACTACTACCTGACTGGAATTATTCATACTGAAAAGACCTCTGGACTTGGTGTTGTAGCCCAGGCTTCTAGAATTGGATTAACAAATCTTTGTGTGACTATGAACAAGTCACTATGTCACCAAGTTTCTCATTTACAGAAAACTACCTTTTGATGAACACTTGATAAATATTAGGCATTGTTAAAATGTGCATAACTTACTTGTAAAAGCTTAAAAATAGGTAGTTTGTAAAATATAGTTTAATTATATAGATGTGCAATGGTTTAAGCTCCAAAGTTCGGAGCATAAGAAACTAGTCTAGGGTGGTTAGCCAGCACTATATAGGAAAGGCAACACTCTCGAAGTGGCTATTTTTGTTTTATTTCTGAATAAGTCTTGCTCTGTCACCTTGGTGTTGCAGTAACATGATCATGATCTCATTGAAGCCTTGAACTCCTAGACTCAAGCAATCCTCCTGCCTCAACCTCTTGAGTAGCTGGGACTTCAGGCACATGCCAATCCACCCAGCTTAGAGATGGCTATTGTAAGAGTATTTGTTATACCTATTTCAATGAGTAAGTGATGTTTTACAAACTAGCAAAAATATGTCTGAAATAGATTTTCTTTAGTGAAATCAGTGTCCCAATAATTAGCAAGATAAATGTTGTAAATGGAACTTAATTTGCAAAACTGAAGTTTTAAACAGGGTATAGAAATCTTAGTGAGGCCCATAGCCTGTACCATAGGATTAATGGCCAAAGTTTGTTCACTAAATCATCCTATTTTCAACTGTCAGTTTAATAGGATTTCTGGTTGTCTAATGCAGATTAAAATGGTAACAAGATCCTAACCCTGAAATATTGTCTCATTTGCCTCCAGTGAACTTTTTTTTCCCAAGGTTATGATTAGAATATCTGAATAAACAGAGACTTGGAATTTCATCAAATTTATGGAAAAGGCTGTGAGTCAATTACTGCCTTCTTGCTAATAAATGTTTGCTAACGTATGCCTATAAGTGAAGTAGAATTTGCTTTAAGGTATACTTAAAAATTTTTTCACTAGCTTTAGAGATACAAATGGTTTTTGGTTACACTGACGCATTATATAGTGGTTAAGAGGTCTGGGTTTTAAGTGTACCGGTCACCCCCATTAGTGTACATTGTGTCTGATGGATGAGGGATGAAAAAAGACTTTAACATAACTAGCAAAAGCAGTATTACTTTTATTGTTAACTCTGTCCCAGCTCAACTTTCTTCAGTAGACACACTTACTTATCAAAAGTGTGTCCAAATTAGTAGTGGACACTTCTCAACAAACATTTTGCTTCACTTTAATCTTCACCTGAGACCTTCGAATTAGTTATTATTCCCCTCTTCCAGATAAGAAAATTAAGGTTTAGGGAAAATAAATCCCTAATCATTGGAATACTGAGTGGTAGAAACGTAGGTGTTTGATTTCCTTGCTCCAGTGCTCCCTGTCACCTCCCAGGTACCTCACAAGACCAATGCAAGGAATGGATGCATGATTGTGAAATGCCTATAGCATGTTCCCTGCAAATGTATTAAACAAGGACTGTTCAGCTCCCTTAATAGAAAGTTCAAAGTCAACCACCTATAAAATGTATTTCATACATATGTATTGCCGCTTTATATAATTAAAATTACTATTAATGGAGTTAGGATTTTTTTGTTTGTTCTTATCATACTGTTTTTGCACCTGTACCTTCTCTTGATTCATATAATATATTCAGGAAAATCACAAGTTGATCCTCAGAGGCATCGATTACTGTGACATAGTTGTGTGACCCAGCTCCAGAGTCTTCTACCAGAAAATTCAATTTAAGTTATCAGTTGAAACAGTTATAGGTATTTAAGTGGAAAAAGTCATAATTATCTAAAGGTCAATAAAACATTTATCTCAAAGCATTATTCCACAGAAGAAAGTAAATAGTAACTGGAATTGCTGAAGTGATAAGGGACATTCATGGGTTGATAATTCTGATATACCTTAGAGAACAGCAGAGCTGAATGAACAGTTTTGGGTTCTATAATACTACTGATCAGGCTAGAAAAAATGAACAAAATTCAAGATATAAATACAGAATAATTTCACTCCATAGTTACCAATAAAATATCACATTCAAAATGCATTTTATTTTGGATACTATGTTTTAATCATAAATCAATATGGCCATAAACAATCCAAATCTAGTTTATATAATAAAATTTTTAAGTTCTTGGAAAAAAGATCTTAGGTTAATGGAAAGGTAAACATTGATGTGTTCCTGTTTATAGTTCTAAAATTTATATGTTAGGTGATTCATGGTTGGTGTGGAAGTTAAAGGGGAGAAAATGATTCATTTCATATGAAGCTATTTTTTAAAAAACTCATTATTACACATGAAAGTGGTGACATCCAAGGAATATGAATTTTTTAAATGTATATTAATACTCACCTTAAAATGTTACATATTTCAATTTATTTTAATTTCATTTGAAGAATAAGGCATATATGATTAATAGGTCATGTAATCAAACTTTTTCTAGGAGAAGCTATTGTATTTTTATTATACTATAGCTGTAGACCTAGCTTAAAGAATCATGAATGTATTAGCCTTTTTCAATTGTGTTATTATTATGCAAACACTAAAATTATCCTTCCTCTGTAATTAAAATGAAAAACTCCTCATTATAAAGTGAGGAGTTGTATGTTAATTTTTTGTGTTTTTGTTTTGTTTTGTTTTGTTTTGAGACAGAGTCTTGTCTGTCACCTGGGTTGAGGTGCAGTGGTGCCATCATCACTCACTGCAGCCTCAACCTCCTAGGCTCAAGTTATTCTCCCACTTTGGTCTTCAGGTAGTTGGGACTACAGGCAGGCACCACCGTGCCTGGATAACTTTTAACAATTTTTTGTAGAGATAGAGTCTCACTGTGTTACCTGGTCTAGTGTTAATCTCCTGGCCTCAAGTAATTCTCCTGCCTTGGTCTCCCAAAGTGCTGGGATTACAGGCTTGAAGCATCATACCTAGCTGCTTTCTTCATTTTTAAAATGTTTATTGCAGCACTATTCACAATAACAAAAACATGGAACCAACTGTCCTGCACATTGAAAGTAGACTGAATTTTTTAAAATGTGGTACATATACACGATGAAATATTACGCAGCCATACAGAAGGACAAGATTACGAACTTCACAGCAACTTGGATAGATTTAGAATCTATAATACTCAGTGATTTATCACAGAAACAAGGAACCACATGTTCTAACTAATAAGTGGACTCTGGGCAATTATCACGATATCACAAGAAAGGGATTTGTAGCCAGGCTCGGTGGCTCAGCCTGTAATCCCACGCCTTTGGGAGGCTAAGGTGAGTGGATTGCCTGAGCCCACAGGTTCGAGACCCGCCTGGGCAGCGAGACCTCATCTCTACAATAAATCAAAAAATCAGCCAGGCATGGTAGCGCATGCCTGTAATTCCGGCTACTTGGAAGGCTGAGGCAGAAGGATCACCAGAGCCCAGCAGGTCGAGGCTGCAGTGGCTGGGAGTGGCCACTGCACTCCAGTCTGGGCGACAGAGTGAGACTCCAACTCAAAAGAAAAAAAAAAAAAAGAAAGGGATTTGTAGTAATGAGAAACTGCCAGGGATGGAGAAGAAGGTGGACACTTTATCAATAAGGCTACCTGAACTCAAACCAGGTGAAGTGGGTACCAAAGTGAGGCCCAAACTTTACCTGTATAATGACCATTTGTATACATAATCCTGAATTGTACCCTACATCTTTAAAATACAAATTGAAATAAATAAATAAATAATAAAACAAGAGGAAAAAAAAAAGGATATTGGAAAGTTGCCACTAGAAAAAAAATGTTATATTTGCTTATATTAACTTCAAGTAAAAAATGTCCTGAAATTACTACGTTCTTCTAAATGCTAATTCAACTAAGGTATTATGGGGAGAAATTCTATCAGTTGGGATAATTTCTTGAGATAACTTTCCAACTAATTGATACATTTCATAACTGAACAAGATGAAATGAGACATAAAACAACAATATTGCAGCTTTTATAGATTTAATACCCATCAATGCTTAGGAAGCTGTTTGGACACAAAATTATTATTTGTTCAACATTGACCTCAGTAATAGCAGGGGATATAAAGGAATAGGCTTAAGGAGAAAATATTTGGTTTTATAAACATACCACTCCGTTCACTGACAGCAGCTGGTCTCCTCTTTTGAGGCCTCCGTGTCTCTCAGCTACCCCTCCAGGAATTATGCGAGAGATATAAATGGGGGAATTCTGCTCCTTTCCTCCCATCACGTTAAAACCAAGGCCCTCATCAGTCTTTGGCAGTTCGACTACCCGAGGGTGGGAGTGGCCTTCGCTAGCTGCAAAAGCTGCAACTGTTGCCTGAAAAAAAAAAAGGTCTTTTGGTAATAAAACCAGGGATATAAGGCTAATCACATGCTTTGCAGTGGGTAGCTCAAGCAACTTCTCACATTTTTATAACATTCTCCTGAGAAAGAAAAAATACAAAAAAAGAGGGACTTTCTCCACTTAGATGCCAGCTATGACTTCTTTCTTTGGTAAAGCCCCACCTGTCTATTTCTAGCTTTCTAGAACTTATTCACTATGATAAAAATCCCTTTTCTTCATAAAAATCCTTCCCAGATGCGAGTGGCTAGATGCAATTCCTCTTATTTCTGTCCTCCAAATAGATTTGTTGGATAGATTATCTACTATAATTATTTTTATACATATGTTGATTATGAACACATTAAGGGTAGAGATCTATGTCTTGCACTTTTTTGTATGACACTCAGTCTAATCTGGTGCTTGCACATAAAAGCTCACAAATATTTATTCAATAAATTGAAGGGCACTTTTATGTGTATATACTTCTGAATACATATGTAATCTTGCGATTGCTAAGCGACAGGCTAAGTAAATTTAAGTGGGTTTTTTTAATTGAGGATGCTTAAAAGAGAATAAAAGCTAAAATAAAGTTCAAACAGATTATTGTTATTTCATACCAATATTTCATGTTTTTATAAGAAATCGTTTCTGGCACAGAATTTTTCCCCTATATTATACATTAATATTTCAACTATTATAACTACATAGGCAAAATGAACAGTCCATGGTTTTATACCTAGACATATAAAACATCGTTTAATATGGACACAAGTTTATTTTTAAATTCATAAATTTATTTATTTAAATAAGTTCAAGAAAACAACTTACCATTAGTTCCCACCCCCTCAGGGAAATAAATAACAACATCTAAGTCATTTCTATCAAGAAAGGATTCTCTGTCTGCTTCTTATTTTTCACTTTCTTTTTTTTTTTTTTGAGTTGGAGTCTCACTCTGTCACCCAGACCGGAGTGCAGTGGCCACTCCCAGCCACCGCAGCCTCTACCTGCTGGGCTCCGGTGATCCTTCCACCTCAGCCTTCCGAGTAGCCAGAATTATAGGCATGAGCTACCACGCACGGCTGATTTTTTAATTTATTGTAGAGATGAGGTCTCGCCAAGTTGCCCCCGAGCCCAGCTTATTTTTCACTTTCACTAACCCACCTTAACCACAGTGGATTAGGTGCCTACTAGAAAGTGACTTGTTCAGCACTGTGAAAATATTTATTCCCAACTGCTGTACATTCTTTTCCACACACAGCATTATCACATCAATTTAGCATTATGCTACTGTCTGCATTTGGTGAAAGATAGTGAATGATATGAAAACAATGGCTTGTTTTTAGCTACATGCATTTGCTCATGCAAACCTCATTGTCATGCATAGATTTTAATGGCTGACATGGATGCAATGCAGACAGCCCAGAAACAACCAGAAAATATTGTGCTATTGCAACATTATGCTGCTATCCTGCTGTTCTACATGAATAAGAAATGAGAATGGTAAAACACTACATAATTCACTTTCCCCTTAATTAAACCATGTAGGGATCATTTTTCTGTTTGTGTTCCACTTCAGTACAAGCAAAGCATGATGTAATGATCATAATACCCTCTTTTGGCTTGAGTTTAAAAAAAAAAAAAACTTACAAATCTACAGTGTTCAGTTACAGAATTAAAACTAAAAAACCAGGAGAGCAATCAAACAAGAGGTGATATAACACAATAGAATTAAATGAGTAATTCTAATCAGTTTCAATGGTTCTTATTTCTTATACATTATTAGAAAGATAAAAAATATTTAAAAGAAGTCATGTATCTATTATAACATTTGTGTATTTGTAAAGTAAGAACTGCATCAGTGATATTAGTTTAAAATTTATTTCCTGATGGTCTATTTTCCAGATAATTTCATGATCCTATTGATGTAACATTTCTATTAGTAGGGTCTCTGCAATCTCTAGATTTGTTTTTAAAAATGCAAACAGGGTATTCCCACAAAAGGCCTTCTCTTTAAGTCAATGCCATGTTCTTTTAGTAAGTTACTCACTGCTCAGTTGAATATATAGAAGAATCCTAGATCAGGAAATACTGGTGGATTCTTTTTGTGTCTACTTTAAATAAAGTCTTTAGATTGGTGGAGATAAATCTGCATGCACTGAATAGGATATGGGTTCTTTTGGGTCAGAGGAATGTGTCAGAAAACCATATAGTATTTCTATACAAGGAACCAGTAGATTTGCTTGTGCCAAATGGACATTTACTGAGTTTAATGAAATCATTCTCTTTTCTTAAGCTACAGAAGCAGCAGAAACGTTCAATTTTCCATTAGAATTTTTACCTGGGAAGTAGTACTGGTTCTAGACTCTGGGCTGCCACTGATGTCTAAATTCTCTTACAGTGTACACACGAGAATACCTGAAACACACACGCGCACAATCAATTACTACATAACTGGGGTCAAGTATATTTTTAAAGTTACTCAAGCCTTACCTTTGCTGTGGCCCTTGCACGGAATTCGGGACAACCATTCACAGTTATCGTTTCATGCATATATTGATACACCTAAAATGTACACATAAAAAAGAATTTGTAAGAACATTAAGAATATCAATTCTCTTACTGCAGATAAGATAATAATATTTCACTGTAGGATAGAAGTTCTCTATCATACCCATAAATGAAATAGGTCTTTATCAATTATCCTGATTATTTGAACCAAAACTATCTACTATTTTTTTTTTTTGAGGCGGTGATTGGGGAAGAGAAAGCAATCACTTTTACTCATAATTTTTTTCCCCACCCCTCTGGGGTCTCACTCTGTCACCCAGAATAGAGTGCAACGGCACGATCATGACTCGCCTCAGATAATTTCATGATCCTATTGATGTAACATTTCCATTAGTAATTCCCTGCAATCTCTAGAATTGTTTTTAAAAAGTCTCGAACTCCTGGGCTTAAGCAATCCTCCCACCTCAGCCTTCCAAGTAGCTAGAACAATAGGCATATGCCACTACACTTGTGTAGTGGCATACACTAATTTTTTTTTTAAATTTAAATTTGCTTCTTTTGGTAGAGATGAGATCTTGCTATGTTGCCCAGGCTGGTATTCATAAGTTTTAAATTGGGCTATCCATATTTATCAAATATAAAAACTAGTTTGGTTTTATAAAGACTTTTGTCAGTAAAAATTTTTACCATTATATATAGCTCTAGATAGCAAATATATGATAAACATTATATATAGTTACTTCTTAAATTTGGTAATACTTTGAAAATAGTTTTCTGAATCAATATTCCACAAAGCTAAAATAAAAATATCTTTCCTTGACATAAACTTCATCATGTTAGAAGGTATGTGACTATTAATGATACATACTCATAATTTTGAACATTTATAACTTGATCTGCTCTGTGAACCTATTTTATTTAATATGAGTGGGTAGGCTAATCAACGAGTCCTTAAAGGACAGAGAAAAAATGGTATTCCAAAGCAAAAACAAGAAAGGTAAGACATTCTTAAACGGGTAATACAGAGCAACATATCAGCTATGTGTTCATGCTAACATTCAGATGAAAAGAAAGAATGGGGATCAAATCTGGACCCAGGATAACATTATAGGAAGCATAAAAGTTTTTCTGGCTAATGAACCGAAGTCTGAGCCTTACAATAAAATTGAAAAACTATAAGGCCTTGTTTCACTACTTTCACCTTCTTTTTGCCTATCTGAAAAGTGGGTAAAGAATATTTATTTGGTAGAGTATTTTTTCTTTTCTTGAAGTAATACTTTGAAGGCAGCTGGCACCTAACAGTACTCCTTAAACAGCAGATATTATTACTCATTATGATTCTAGATACAACTATAGAAATCGTTAAACCACAGACAAAATGTTTTCCTTCTAAACTGCTAGGAATTGGATTATAAAATCTTTATATCAGTGTTAAAATAAATGGCTTCATCGTAAATAAACTGAAGTACAGAGTAAGTATCTTACAGGGTAGTGTGAAGAAGATATTTGGAAAAAATAACAAAGTTAAATATATTGAATTATATGCTCATTTTGGATATAAACAAGAGTGTAACGATTTATTGCATAATGCATAGCATTATCCATTTGGTATTATGCTGGAGTATTCCTTAGGAGTGACTCATTACACATGAAATAGGAAAACTGCAATGAAAGGCTTGAAGGGTTTTATTTCTTTCTATTAATTTTATTTTACATACTTAAGTCAAAAGTCTTTGAAGTGAGTTCAAAATTTGATTAATTTATCCATTCAACAATTATTTTTTGTATGCCCAGGACTAATCTCTTTCCCACATTTTTGGCTGGCTTATCATTTCTCAAACACTGCACATTAGATTGACTCTCCATTAATGCTGACTCATCTCTTCCAGTTGCAGGGTTAGAAAGAAATCAACAAAGTAGTCGCAACTGAAAAGCTAGGAGTACAATTCAGATTCTAACTTTTAGCTTTGAATCTCCACTTTAACAATTGAGGTATTCAATTTCTGTGGGAAATCTGAAGGGGAATGAGAACAGGTTTTCAAGAAGAGCATTTGTGGAATCTGAGCTATGTTACTGTAAATTCTCCAGGCTATGAGAAGAGCTGATAAACATACTTCCAAGTTATTTTCCTTTGATTTCATAGAGACAGCCCTTCCAAAAATAAATTCTACTTATTTGCTCTAATAGCCCATTTCAAAGGAGGAAGCTCCCTTCCCTGTTTCTCTTGTTAATAAACTCTCTCAAATCTGACCCTTTGTTCCACCCTAACTCATTATCTCTTGCTGAAAGCACTGCATTAGTGTCTTAATTGGGTCTCCTGATCACCAAACACTATTAACTTCAGTGTTCATCATCAAGTACCTACCTGACCATGTCCCTATTGTCCTCTTGGCTGTCTGCTGCCATTACAGTAAAGGTGACAAAGTCAAATGCCTACAGGAGGCAAACCAGAGAAAATAATGTGGAACCCAGCCTTCTCTCTAGTCTTGTTTTCTTACAGCTTTTCCTGCTTTATCTGCACTGTTCCCCAAACATATCAAACTTTCCCAGTTACTCAGGCCTTTACACATGTTGTTTACTCTGCCATGGATGCCCTTCAGCCTAGGAGACCCTTATTTATCCAAATTCAATGTGATAATTAAAGGACCAATTCAAATACTCTTTTCTGCCAGTTGCAAGCAGAGTAAGTCTCTGCCTCCTGAATTTGGCTGGGATTATTTTGGTTAACATTTCCAAGGAAAGTGACTTCTTTGCCTGTATCCAAGGATGTTTATGAAGACAATCACTTAGCAAATAATTGGGACACTGTCATCAATTGATTAAAATAAAAGGTAATTTTCTAAGTGCCTGAGAAAAAGTAAATACCTATACCCAACATCACAAACTAAGAATAATTAGCCTTTACATCCCAAATTGAATTAAAAGTGGGATATGCAAGAGACAGTACTATGTAGTAGATAATTGCACAGGTTCTGGAGATGGCTTGGGAACAAACCCTGGCTGTGCCACTTACTAATTGCATGATATTGGTCAGTTATTCGATTTCTCTTGTGGTCAATTTCCTCCTTTGAAAAATGTGCCTTAAATAATAACTAACTTCCAGGTTTGTTATGAGCATTAATTAAGAATAGTTTGCCACTGGCCCAAAATCAGCTATTATTGTTATTGCCATTGTTATTTAATGCTTCTCATCCTATTTGATCCCAGGATCTTTTGGGGAGAATCTCCTAGGGCTAATCCATATAAACACTCTTTACACAGAATTGATCCAAGGCTGAATTACTCAACTGGGTATGACTTTACCCGCTAGGAGACATTTGGAAATGTCTAAAGAAATTTTTTTTTAAACGTGGAATATAATGCAGAATCGGGTATACAAATAGTCATTATGTGACATTTTTCGTTATCACAAGTGGGCAGGGGAGTGGTCCTACAGTGTCTAATACATGGTAGCTAGTGATGCTGCTAAACATCCCACAGTGCACAGAGAAGCTCCTCACAACAGAGAATTATCTGCCAAACATCACCTGGACTGCAGTTGAGAAATCATGATCTAAGAAATCAAACTATACCATTTCTTCTTATACATAATTAATAAGGCATAAAAACATGTGTCTAGCTCTGAGTAAAGGCACTTGCAAATGTCTAATAAATATTTGTTGGAATAAATTATGATAATTCTGGTGTTATCTAATAAGGAGTTACTCTGGGCCAAATGCAATGCTCGGCATTTTATATCCATGAGTTCACTGAATTCTCACAACTTATGATTCAAGCACTCTACACATAAAGAAACTGAGTTATGGAGACAGTAACATTCCTATAAACCACACAATTAATTAGCTGCAGATTTGGTATATAAAGGCATCTCTATCTGCCTCCAGAATCTTTTCTCTCCCAGCAATATCAGGCTTTCTTATATTAGTTCAGCAATGGATCACACTATTTTGACAGTATATGTGCAAACAAAAACTTATGGTGTCACAAGCATTTCTTTATATTTTGAATACAGTTGTCTAGGCTTTATATAGTAGCTACCATTAAACACACTGAGTACCACATGTTCTCACTCATAAGTGGACCCTAGATATATAGTATAATGCTACAAGAAGGGATTGGCAGTAGCAGGACACTGCTAGTGGCGGTGGGTGTGCACATAACATCAATAGGGTGTCTGATCATAATCCAGGCAAATTGAGGTTCACTGAGAGGCCCAAACTTCACCTGTATGTAATCCACTAATATATCCAATTCGGACTTGTACCCCATATCTTTAAAATAAAAAATGCTGCAAATGTACAATGCAACCGTTCTGAAAACAACAAATTCATTAGTCCAAATTAGAGTGAAATATCATTTTGATCTCTCTTTTTAATTATAATATAACTAGATTTAGTGAAATGAATCCAGTATTATTGCCAGTCTTTTATTTCTATAAAACACAACAGATTTTGATTATTTTCAAAAGAGAGCTGAAAAGGACATGATCTGGTTACAGAGTCAGGACAAAACCTGGTGACATTAATTCTATATCCATTAGCTGTGTTGCCTTATGAACTTTCTTAGCCTCTCATTTCCAAAGGGACAAAGTGTGTCTAGGTCTATCTTACTTTTCAAGGACAATCATAAAAGTATTTGTAAAATTTTGAAGAAAGTTGTTATTTAAAACTAAAGTATTTTACCAGATACCCTGAGAGAGTTCTCAGAGAGAAAAGGGAAAATAGTTGTGTGCTTGAACATGGATCTTATAAGCGGGGATAATAGTCTCCTTAATCCTTTGTATCCCAGAATGTATGATAAACCTCAGCCACAGCATTTCTAAGCACATTTCATTGGTAACATGGGCTTATTTCCTATTATAAGTCAAGTAACTGATAGACACTCTTATACAGTTTTACCTTATATTTCAGCATCAGTAATTTTCAAATTTTGAATAAATCTCACATTCAATAGCATTTTTGCATATTTAAAATTTATGAAGTCCTAGCTAGAGAAATCAGATAAGAGAAGGATATCAGGGGTATCCAAATAGGAAAAGAGGAAGTTAAGT